TTAAAACAACACAAAAATATTTTAAATAATCTCAAATGCCTAAATATTCTTGCATATACTATTAAACCCATTATATAATATTCTAGTCTAATTTCATATTAGTGATATTATTATGTTTTGAATATTTGTACTTTRAGTACCTGTGTATGTTTAATAATGAATAGTTAATCATGAAACTTTTAATTGTTTCAGTTACATTATGCATCAACTCGTTATCATATTGTGCCATTTACATTAATTCCAGTAACATATAGACTTGTCAAAAGTCAAGGAATTGGTGTTTTGTGGAAAGGTTTTGGAACAGTTTTACTAATCAAAGGAATAACAATTGCAATTGAAGCATTATTGTCAGAACTCTTTAATTTACCAAAGTAAATTATTTTATTATTGATATTTATTAATTTGTGGTCTTTAATATTTATGTTTGATTATACAAAATTTTCAGAGATACTGATTCTATAAATAATTCAAAAAATTTTGGAAAACATATTATATTAAAATGGTAAGTAAGACTTTATAGTTAATTTATTCCAAAAAATCAGATTCTTCTACAATTTTTCAAAATTTTTTTACGACCTGTTTTTAATTCAGAAATAATTTTTTTTGATAAAAACTATTTTCTATTTAATTGAATATTACAATTTTAAATAGACATTCAGTTAGATGAATGTTATTTGCTCTTTACCACATAGTAAGGCATGGATGTTTATAAAACTGTTTTTTTTTTTTATTGATTCAATTAATTTTAACATAGATAACAATTTGTTTTATCTTCTAAATCAATTTATATGCTTATTTCACATTCTAAACGAAGTGAGATATGTATTGATTTTACAATGATGCATGTTTTGTTCTTTTTGTGTGTCTGTTGTCACATTTTAAAGTGAAAAAAAGAATTCCAGTAATTTTCAAAAGCGAATAACAATAACTCAAAAACGAAGTATTGTAAATACTTTCACCAAATGTCTATATTAGTGTTATCTAATTACAATTACATTTTCAAAATATTTTGACTTTTTTTAAGCTATTTATAGACAGTTGAAATTTTTGATTTTTTTAAGTTTTAGATTCTGAACGAAGTGATGAATGTATTGATTTT